TCGATCGGCGGTCGAAAATCCCTCCGGTGCGGCGGCGGGTGGCGGCGGCCGGCTTCTGGTTCGTCTTCTCCGGCGAGGGCAGGCGGCTAGGGTTTGGGGTCTGGTGTGGGGGTCTTATTTATACTCTTTTTCCTTTTGATCTCAGCCGTCCATTTTGATTTAATCTGGGCCGTTCGTTTTTGATTAAATCTGAGACGTCCGTGCGATTAAATCTGGGCCGTCCGTGCGCGCGATTGATCTGGGCCATCCGATCGCGCGCACGCGGATCGCCAACGTGGCCCGTCCCCGGTCGACGTGGTTTTGCCACGTGGCAGGTCCTGGTTGGCCAGGACTGCTGACTGGGTCTGCTGACGTGGCACACGCCTTTTTTTTTTCCCCTCTTCTTAAATTTCCCCGGGCGCTACAAAATTGGTATCACAGCTTAAGCTTGAAGGTGCTTAAATTATGCAGAGGCTAGAAATACTTACTACTCAAGCATGCTCATGTTTTAGATTTGGTACCTACCTTTTATTTACCTTGTCTTAGCATAGAATTCAACTATATGGTTCTTATTGAAGGTTATATGAGTGGTATCTGGTGAGATGTCTTTTCTAAATCTGATCTCGCAGTTTTATTCTTTTCTTTTTTTTGCATGTATTTTTAAATGGTGCATATCTAGTGATAACTCTGATAGTAATTGCTTGAAGCTTTAATCATGAATTCATTATAGATGTGGATTTGATTGCTTGAGAAACTGATTGCAGAAGATTCAATCACTTGATCGCATGAAGGGTTGAGTGCAATTCTTTATTTATTGGAACACTTAAAATGAGTACTTTGAGAGAAAGCTTGCTCTTGTTATTAGAAGAAAAAAGTGGGAAGAGGAGAAAACCTTGCTTTTGCCCTGTCTTTGGGAGAGTATAAAAAAGAAACTTGTTTTTGCTACTGCTATTATTACTGTCCAACATTTTCTACTGTACCCAATGTAGATAAAAGATCTTATTTTCAGAGATGATAAGGTTGTAAGGGCTATTCTAAATCTCAGAGTGAATTTAATATCGATACACGTATATATTTTTTTGTCTATAATTTAAAAGAATTATATTTAATCAAAAATATGCATAAAAACAAAATTAAAATAGTTGGTGTTAGTCAAATACATTTTACACAAGTTCAATAAATATAATCTTATCATACTATTTTATTAATTATTTATTTATTTATTTTGGTAAATAGACAAAAAAGATACTTTAAATTTTTATTGTCTATAATTTTTTATCTATTTCTTGTTTTAGTCTCTATCGTATCGAATTATGTAATAATGATTAAATTTTTAATAAATATTTTATTTTTGAGTAAATGATGTATATATTTATCAATTAAGTAATATGCATACATTAATTATAATACAATATAAATACTTGTCAATCGAAGTTATAAACAGAAAATAATTTAACTGATTTGAATGTATAATTTTTTATAGAAAAATGAAAATATCAACTATTAAATTAAATAATTGTTGGGAATAAACATCTCAATTTATATATTATATTAATTTAGCTTATTTTGATTAACTCCACTTAATAAAATATAATTTTTTACTATGCAATATCATGAATTTTTAATTATAGAATGTGCATATTAAAATTTTAATTAATTGTAATATAATTAATTAACACCACAATTAAATTGAGGTATTGATAAATTTGAGTCACAATGGAATATTTTTAGAAAAATCACCGTACGAAACAAAAAATAAATAAAAAGTCATGCAGCAAATTATATTTAAAATTTTAAATAGTATTAAATATTTTAAATTTTCTAAAAATTAAAATTATTTTTGAAATATCTAACTTAATTCAAAATATTTTATTTAGTACCAATAATTACATTATATATAATTTTTTAAATTAATAATTACATATATTAAAGTAATAATTATAAATGCATATGTAATCGTTTAATATATATATAGTTAATTAATATTTTTTATTAATATATTTATAAAATTTAAAAAAAATAAATTTATTAATCTATTTACGATTTAGTCCGATATTAATTGAACCAATTGAACAAATTCAGTCAGTTTAACTTTAGTTGTTATATAATGTTCAGTTAGTTTGGTTAGTTATGATGTTTCAGTCGGTTCCACCTAATGTGTTTATGGAATTAGAAAGTAAAATTATATTGCTAATCATATCTTTAATGTTTTGTTAATTTTTAAAAAAGTGAACATATGTTCTAGTTAACTATATATTTAAAATTTTTTTATTACATTTCATATGGAATGCTTAGGTACATAATTATGGTGCTAATATATATTTTTCGTAAAATATTTTTCCATAATACTCACGATAATTGCTCTTTTGAAAAATTTGTACAATGTATAGTTTTAACAAGTTAAGTATCATCATATTATTTTAAATTCATTTTTTTTATTTGTTATAATAATAATAATAATAAATGATTCATTCTTAACTAATTTTATTTTTATTCTTTACCTTATTGCAAAAAAAGTCAATACATCTATGAAAGATTTTTGTTTAAAAAATGAAGACAACTTGGTATTTGATATTGACGAACCAACAACTTAACTCTTTAAACTTGTATTTTTTAAGACTTATATTTGCAATGCTATATTAACTAATAATAAATGATAGTTCCAACTTTTGATAAAAGTGATAGTTATATATGTAACATATAAGAATATATTTTATGAAGACAGAGATGTATAACGCATTTTATTATGTTAATTATTTTGAATGTGAGTAATATAATTGTCAAAACTTTCAAAATTTAAAGAATTTTTCTCTGATAGATTTTTACTAGTGTTGTTATCAACACTTATTAAATACTATAATACCTATCTTAATTAAATTAGATAGACATTATAGTTATTGAGTGAACTATGTAAATTTACTATTTTCTCGTTATTACTAATATTTAAGAAGCCACTTATATAAAAAAATATTATTTTGTAAACTAATTGATAATTTAATTATTCTTAATGTTAAATTTTATACTAAATGGATAAAGATTTTTAAAAAATAATTAAAATTGCTTAATTAAAATTTTATTTAAACATGACAAAATTTTAATAAAATCATATATATATATATATATATATTGTAGCGCCCGGGGAAATTGAGGAAATTGAAGGAAAAAAAAAAACACGCGTGCCACATCAGCAGCCACGTCAGCAGACCCAGTCAGCAGTCATGGCCAACCAGGACCTGCCACGTGGCAAAACCACGTCGACCGGGGACTGGCCACGTTGGCGATCCGCGTGCGCGCAATCGGACGGCCCAGATCAATCGCGCGCACGGACGGCCCAGATTTAATCAAAAACGGACGGCCCAGATTAAAACAAAATGGACGGCTGAGATCAAAAGGCAAAAGGGTATAAATAAGACCCCCACACCAGATCCCAAACCCTAGCCGCCTGCCCTCGCCGGAGAAGACGAACCAGAAGCCGACCGCCGCCACCCGCCGCCGCACCGGAGGGATTTCCGACCGCCGATCGAGGTAAATTTTATACCCCCGACTCGTTTTTCCACGCTGATTTCCCCAGTGGCCAAATCGGAGCCAAAATCTCGGCCAAACGGCCGAAAAACACGGCCGAAAGCCAGCGGCGCCGCCGCGCCCCTTCTCGGTTTTTGCCTCCGATGAGGCCCTTCCCGGCCTCCGTTTAATGCAATTTTTATATCACCGTGATCATCATTCTTTTCTCTACAGGTTGATTGGAGCCGAATCACCAAAACACGAACTTCACCGGAGAGCCGCCGCACCCGAGAGCACCGCCGCCGGTAAGCTTCGGTTTTCCGTAAATTTTCGGCCCCCCGAGGGCCGTAGGGTTGTTTTATTGCAGGAACCAATGCGAGTGTGGCCGAATTCGGCCGGAAACGGCCGAAAACGGCCAACCCGAGGCGAACTGCCGCCGCAAGCGGCGGCGCCGTCGCCAGAGCACGGCGGAGCCGCCGTGCCGGAGTTGCGATATTGGCCGAAAGGGGCCCTGGGCCTAATTTGGGATTTTTTGGAACACGTGCAGGTACCAGTAGTGCGTTTCAGTTCCTCGGGAAAAAATTCAGGAAAAATTAGGGACAGCCTGTAGGCGCACTGTGAAGCCGTGTTCGGACCCCGAAACGAGTAAGGACTCCTCACCTTATTTCCTATCACGGTTTGAAAGTTCAATAAATGATAAAACGGTATTTCATGAATCAACGAATGTATGAAATTGCTTAAGGTCGCTAATGAAGCCCGAGTCTAGTGTGTTTGTCGGTTAACTGTTATTTGGCCTGTTTTACAGTTTTAAATGCAGCATGAGATTCGATGTTTTTATTTTATAGTTTCGTGTGCATATTTTACTGTTTTATTGATTATAGATTGAATGACCGGGATATCGATGTTGTATGTTGTCTGTTTGGCATAAATTATCGTTTTGCTTGTTTGTATGTGATTGATAATGCTGACTGAGGGAAAAGGAGAATGAAAGATTATGTAAATAGAAATTGTATAATGTGTTCAGCCTGACTAGATATCCTGGGAGATGGTGGACGGACCGGGTCCGTAGGGAACCCTACCGGGATTGTGGTCTCCCATACCGGACGGGGTATGGGGACGGCCCGTTTCACCCTCATACCGGACGGGGTAATGAGGTCTATGGTTTGGCGCCCATACCGGACGGGGTATGGGGACGACCCTGGAATATGATTTCAAGTGTTAAGGGTTAACGGGTAACGGGACCCCTATGGATCCCCATGGATACTAGTGGGCTGGTAAATGAGGAAAATATGTTGTGTAACGATTGAATTACGAAAAGCTTGATAGGTATTATGTTATACAGTTTATATATATGGTTTCATGATGATGATGATGTTATTGCTTTCGTATATTGTTTTTATGAATTTCACCGAGGTAAGTGAATGGTAAAGGTTTTATTATTAATAAAAGGATTTGTTGTAAATTATGCTCCATTGGTCTTTTTGTGTTTTCTACCCACTTTTACCTCCGTGATGGTGAGATATCGTAATGTCTTTACTGGGGTAGTGTAGCTCATTCCTTATTTAATCATTTCAGATCAAGAGGACATCGTTCCCGAGCCGGTTCCGCAGGAGGACGACGAAGGGGACGCCTAAAGACTCCATAGTCATATTCGTAGCTTTTACTTTCAAGTTTCTCCTTTAGGTAGTTTGATCTTTTATATTTTGTGAGCACGTTTTTAGTTTTAGTGTAAGGGATGTTATTCAAATTTTGACTTCGCTTCCGCATTTGATATTCTTAATATACATTTCATTATGAATTTCCGGGGCTGTTACATATATACACACACACATATTTTGGTCTCTTCTCTTTTTAGTTTTGATTAATGACTTATGACTAGAGAAAAATTGAGTTTAATTTTTGAATTTTTAGTCGGTCAGTTAGATCCAATTGATCCAATTGATCTGCATACAACATTAACAATGTTGTTGTTTAGTCAACTCACGTGTTCAAATTACATAATTATTTTTTCTTTAAGATGAAATTTTTCTAAATATTATGTATGTGTTTAATTGTTTAATATTTAAACACGATATTTATATTTTTGTTATGATAACGATTTTCTGATTGATGGTAAGAAATTTTATGATTATATTTATATACTAATTTTAATTTGATTATTACTAAATCTAATCATGATTTGGCCAAATAATAATTGGAGTAAAGAATTTTTGTAGTGAACTTATTCTATTATTTAATTATTATATTTTGTTTTATCATTAAGATTTAATATACTTAAAAATTAAATGAACATAATCTTTAATGAATATTTAATATTATTTTAAATTATTTGATATGATTAAATATTTTAAATGTTTCATACGATTATTCTCCTTCATAATAATATAATTTATCAAAAAAAAAACATTATATATCATATTAGAGATGTAAAAAAATTAATTCAAAATACAAAAATTATAATCTTTTTAACGGATTTGTAAATTAATAGTGGAAATGATTTCCTCTCAAATAAAATGAGTTTTTAACATCTAATCAAAACAGCATACCTGTAGGAGGAATGTAGGTTAAAGTTGGATCAAGGGGGCCGAACCCAAATGAAGAGCAATTGGATTAGGGTATTTTGCAAGAGAGACGAACGATCCAGCCTGTTCGGTGCTGTCAATAGCTCTATATATTTTCATCTTGTTGGTGTTTTGGGAGGTAGGGTTTATAAATTCATCGTTAACCCCAAGAGGTAGAACGCGCCGCTTCTGAGCAAGTCTGCATGTAGTTGTGCTTTCATAGAATCTTTCCAGAGGAGACGGATGCTATGGGACCTGTCGCGAAACAGCAAGAGAAAGAAGATGACGACGACGATGAAGATGAAGGAAACATCACGCATCATGAAGATGCAGTCCTTCCGTCGAATCAGTAATTAACCAAAATAATCCGTCGATGGAACCTACCGACTCCATGAAATCCTCCTCGATCTGCCTCTTCGTTAATGGTAACGAGGACTTCACCCTCTTCTTCTTTTCCGACAGTCCTCCTCTTTTCCTACTCCTCGGCGATTTCATCTCCTTCTCTTTCCTTCTTCTCAGTCCTCAATCCTTTATTGTTGCTGTAGTCCACATTCTGGTGGTTCTCAGATTCCACGACCTCACCTCTTCAGCCGCCGCAGGGGATTCTTCTCTTTCCGTCTTCTTCAACTTATCTTTTTCTTTCTCCACCCCTTCTCTTCTACAAGGCCAGTAATTCATGGATATATATATAAATGTCATTACTTTTCAAAACCTGAGCAATGTTAATCTGTCTGTCTGGCCATCCAAGAAACATATACAGATGGTTATGGTCCTCCTTGGTAGAATGCGGAAAGTACTAGCGCTTACTTTCTATGGCTTGTGAGTTCCTAAACTTTGATATTTATTAGCCACTATCATTTGAGACAGCAGGTTTTTAATTGTTAAAATCCATGCTTACTGTAGTGATTATTATTTTGCTTTCTGAACTATATTAAAATGTGCAGGTACCAGAACTATATTAAATTGATTAAGAATATAAGCTCAGAAGAGTTTGATTTGCAGCGAAAGAGGATTGCTTTGAAATTAAATTCCATATATTTTAATGAAGGGTCATCTGAAGCTGCAGATCTTGCTGCTGGCTCTGTCATCGAGGTAATAAGCAAGCAATTCTGTAAAGCTACTGTAATGGTTCTGTTTATTTAACAATGTGGCTATTGCCCGAAATTGTTAATCAATTGCTTTTTTTGTTAGATGTATAATTGCCTATATGGATTTTAGATTAGATGCTTCTTTTTCCATCCCTTAATAAGTTGTTTCCTTGTTAACCATATATGTTTTTCTATTTTTCAGCCAAATTTGGTCTAAACAAATTCTTGATTGTTTAAATAATTTGAGTTTGTTAAATATGATTGATTGGATTTTGAATCTCATTTCTTGTTTTTGCATCTAATACGTGTGAATTAAATTATTGATTCAATTAGGTTAGAGGCTTTTTAGCATTTAAGGGGTATGGATGGATACTGTAACTAAATTCTAGTAATTTACCTTTCTAGTTGTCATTTTCAGTTATATATCCTAAGTAAACTAGTAGACCGATTTATACTAGTAAACTAATTTATCTATACTGTGATTATACTTTGTTCTTATGGAGAATCTATGACAGATTCTGACATTTTTTTCCTAATTGTGTGGAAGTTAATGTTTCTTTGTCGATAGTATGTATTGATTAACTGTTTTTTTTTTAAAAAGTTTATACTGATTAACAACTTTCAGCTTTAAATATTACTTTATGCAGTTATTGCAATCTGGTCTCATTTGTTAATATTGGTTGTGACGAGTACTTGGACATTTCTGCTGGTTAAAATTTAGGATTAGGTTTAGTCACATTTTGCATTGACCAACGTAGATCTCAGGAATGCATTCATTCATTTGTATCATTTATAAACGCTATACTGTAATCATGATCATGCACACTTTATTGATGGATAATTTATCATCTTATTTTTCCTTTTAAAGAATACAAGTAATATTATGATATTCCTTGATGTTGCAGATTCTCTTCTACAGGGCCAGTAATTCATGGACATATGCAAATGCCATTACTTTTCATGACCAAAGTAATGTCTGTCTGTCTGGCCATCCAAGAAACATGCCTAGATGATTATAATCCTCCTCAGTAGAATGCGGAATGTACGTATAGCCTACTTTCTCATGCTTGTGAGTTCTTAAACCTTCGACTCCCTTCATATGAGTTAACTCATATTTACTAGCCACTAGTGTCTGGGGACAACAGGTTTTTATTTGTTAAAATGCATGCTTATCCTAGTTATTATTATTATTATTTTGCTTTGCTGAACTACATTAAAAAATGTGCAGGCACAAGAACAACCTTCATGCGTATCTCTTTTGGAATGGAGCTTAGAAAACCTTGAGGCTGTTGGGATACCAAATTTTCTGGAATATATTTACGTTAACAAGTTTGTTGGACATGAGATTGATCTTTGCCTAGTGAAAGTTTTCCTTGAAATGCAAAAGCATTAGTGAAGTTGACCATCTCTTCCGTATGGAACGGTACTCAAGCTGATGATGGAAACAAGTCTAAGATTATAGAAAAGTTATTGGCATTTCTAATAGCTTCAACAAGAATGGAAGTACTTCTCTTGTAACTTAATTTTTGTTGCTGAAAAGAGGTAATAACATTTGTGCTACTTATTTTTAACTCAATCAAGGGATTATCATGTTTGTACTTGAGTTTCGTACTTTTTTTTTTGCTCCTGATTGATGGATATTGCGTCCTCTTAGGTTTCCTTTCAAAAGCTATAAGTAGCCTCATGATATTTCTTGGTGTTGCAGCTTCTCTTCTACCAGGCCAGTAATGCATGGACATATGCAAATGCACTTACTTTTTGCAACCATAGCAATGTCTATCTGTCTATCTGGCCGTCCAAAAAACATGTACAGATAATTATAATCTTTCTCAGTAGAATGCCGAATGTATATAATGCCCACTTTCTCATGCTTGTGAGTTCCTAAACCTTCGACTCCCTTCATATTAAACTCATTTATTAGCCACTAGTATCTGGGGACAGCAGGTTTTTAATTGTCAAAATACATGTTTATCATAGTTATTATTATTATTCTTTTGCTTTGCTGAACTACATTAAAAAATGTGCAGGCACAAGATAGACTAAGCAGCTTACCAGAAGATCAACTTACAGTTTGTCCAAAACTGGAGATACACCTATGAGTCTCTTCCTATTCTTGTATTTGATTCCTTCCAATTTGTTGCTGCTGAAAGTGGGTTGGGTTACGTTCTTTTCTTGGCAATGCTATAAGGTAAACGTTACTGCTTATTGCTGGGAATTTGTCTTGGGAAGGTTGGGAATATCAGTACTGAAATAATCAGGCTTTTGTAGGCGACATAATTGCCTAAGGCCAATTATTGGTTCCTGCTAGTGGTTTGTGGAACTGGAAAATTCAATTTATGGTTTGCTATATTTTTGGTGTTTTGGTCATGGGGAGTAGATAGTTGTTTGTTGATTAGCTATATTTTTAGGGATTTTTATTTTCTCACTGTGGAATGCTTAGGTACATAGCCACAGTAAAGTATTTTTTAACAAAGGAAAAACTTTATTAGTGGAGGGAGAGGATTTAGGTTTGGAAAGGTATTAGTGGAGAGAAAAAATATTTGAGTCTCATTTCCCTTGCTATTTTTTGGGTAGTGTGGAAAGAGAGGAACAACTGGGCTTTTGAAGTAGGTGAAGATCATTGAAATAGGGGCTGAGATAGAAGGTTCCAGATATTGAGTTTTTTAACTATTGAGTCATTCTCTTTATATGATGCAGGATTTTTGAGATCTTATTGGCATTTTGATTGACATGTAAATATTTTTTATATGTAGCTTGACATCACCTTGGTGATTGTATATTAATAGATCTTACATACTTTTTATTTGAAAAAAAAAATCAAAAGGAAAGCTTTTAACAAGTTAAATTGTCATAGACATCATATTATTTCAATGTCCCATATGAGTTGTTTAAATGTTTTCCTTCGAAAGAAAAATGGAAAGAAGAAATGTCTCATTTTCAACTGATTTCATTTGTATTGTTGGCCTATTTGCAGGAAAAATGCAATGAATCTATGATGGGTTATTGTCTACAATTTAACTCTTTTTTTTCTTGCATTTTGGGAGACTTACGTAACTGAAGTTTACGTCTTGTATTGTATTATTAGATACTTATATTGACAATGTTATATGAATTAATAACAAATGATAGGTCGGTCTTTATATGAAAGTGATTGTTACTCTATTTAACACATATGTATGCATTTAATGGAGACAGAGATATATAATGTGTTATTTTTTTATTGTGTTAATATTTTTGAATATAGAGCGCTATAATTATTAAAACTTACATAATCTAAAAAATTCATGTTTGTTGAACTTTTGTTAATGTTATTCTCAGTTTTTATTAAATTATATAGTGCCTATCTTAGTTGAGTTTAATAAAAATTATAACTTTTGACTGCACCATGCAAATATATCATCTTTTTGCTAGTGTTAATATATATGAAATCTTTTGATATTAATAAATACTATTTTATAATAAATGAATAAAATTTAATAGAAAGTAATTAAAATTATTTAATTAATATTCTATTGGTCATATATTTGTCTTTAATGTTAAATTTTATACTACATGAATAAAATTTCTTGTAAAGTATCTATAATTGCTTAATTACTATTATATTTAAACTTGGAAAAATCCTTATAAAATTATATATAGATGTATATATATCTGGGTTTCTTCTCTTTTTGCCTTTGATCAATGACTTATGATATGGGACAAATTGAATTATCACCAGGTTGGTGGAAAAAGAATTTTTTAGTTTGAGGAAAAATTTGATTGCTAGTTGATTATTGTAATGAGAATAAAAAAAAATATTCAATAACAAAAAAAAAAAATCATAAAAGATATGATCAACAGGGTTTATTTTTTACCAACTTATGTGTTTAAATTGCACAATTATTTTCTCCTTAAAAGGCAGTTTTTTTTTTTACAAAAAATATCATTTGTGTATATATTTAAAGGAAGATAAAAATATAATATTAGTATAAAGAGAGAGAAATTAATAGAGATTTATTTTGATGACGATTTTTTGATTCATTGTAAATTTTTTTATAATTATAGATATATATATATATATTAATTTTATTTTAATTATTATCAAATCTAATTATGTTTGTTGATTAGTTAATATTTTTAAAGGATTTGTACATTAATAAAATGAGTTTAACATCTAATCAAAACCGCATATGTATTCAAAATTAGAAAATATTGTTTTCGGCCGAAGAGAGGAAGTTAGATTTAATAAAAACTTGAAATTGATTTAAGTTTGAAAGGGCCGAACCCAAATGGAGAACAATTTGGATCAGGGAATTATGCAAGAGAGACGAACGAGCCAGCCTTGTTGGGTCCTGTCAATCAGTGTATATATTCATCTTCTTTGTGTTTTGGGAGGTAGGGTTTATAAATTCATCATTAACCCCAAGGGATAGAACGCGCCGCTTCCCAGTAAGTCTGCACGTGGCTGTGGTTTCATATAATCTTACAACAGAGATGGATGCTATGAAACCTGTTGCGAAACAGCTAGAGAAAGAAGACGACGACGACGACGATGAAGATGAAGGAAGCATCACGCATCATGAAGATGCAGTCCTTCCGTCGAATCAGTAATTAACCAAAACCAAAATAATCTTGCTTCGTCTCTTGGTTGAGCCTCCTTTTCAGCGATCTCCACCTTGTAGGTATCAAATGTAATCTTCGTCAACTACAACCGGAAAACGCCAACTCTGGAGAATCCTCCTCGATCTCCTTTTGACAGTCCTCCTCTTTTCCTCATCCCCGGCTACTTCATCACCTCACTCCTCATCGGCCAAGAATTCACATTTCCTCTCCTCAATCCTCAATCCTTTATTGTTGTTGTTGCTGTAGTCGACATTCTGGTGGTTGTTTCCCGCTCCACCAATCGGTGCCTTACACGCTGACCGCCTGGTTCTCAGATTCCATGGCCTCACCTCTTCAGCCGCAGCAGGGGATTCTTCTCTTTCTTTCTTCTTGCTGCATATCTTGCTGCTGGCTCTGTCATCGAGGTAATAAACAAACAATTTTGTAAAGTTACTGTAATGGTTCTTAACGGTTTTGTTGTGCTGTTTTTCCATGTTGATTTTTGACCGGGTCAATCTTAAACTTTTCCAATTCAAAAACTTTTTTGGTTCGAAAAAAAAAGTATAACATATTTTAAGTATCAAGGAGATGCAACCTGTATATAAAAATATTTTGCAATTTACTTTTAATGATTAATTAGTGTGTGATATCAGGTTTATCATTGTCAATGTGTATGTTTTATCTTTCAAATGTTTGGGCATCAGCAGACCAACTTGTTAGCTTCAAGAATAATTTTCAGCACAGTTCTGTTACTCATTACAACTCAGTTTATATTTCAAGTAAAGAGCTAAATATTGTTGTTTTATCCAATAGGTAGCAGAGAGGGTTGCCAAAAAGGAGTTGGATTCTGCCTTTGCTATCGTTAGGCCTCCAGGGCATCATACCAAAGAAGATGAAGCTATGGGGTTCTGTTTATTTAATAATGTGGCTATTGCAACACGTTTTCTATTAAATGTAAGAGTAAGAGTCAGTTTTAATTCTTTAGATATAGTTTTCTTACCTGAGGTTATTAATCAATTCCTTTTTTTGTCAGATGTATAATTGCCTATATGGATTTAGGTTAGATATTTCCTTTTCCATCCTTTAATAAGTTGTTTCCTTGTTAACCATATTCGTTTTTCTATTTTTCAGCCAAATTTGGGTCTAAACGAAATCTTGATTGTTGACTGGGATGTTCACCATGGTAATGGTACTCAAGAAACAATCTGGAATGATCCTCGTGTTCTGTTCTTCTCTGTTCATAGGTACATATGAAATCTGAGCCATGCTTATTCATTTGCTTGACCATCGTGATTCTTGTAGTATATGTCCCAAGCTTTCATGATATAGAGATAATTTAGTAATGTCGGCAAGATCCTTGTGTCCTCATGAACCAGTTATACATGCTTGAAAGTAGTTTTTCTTTGTTTTTGTTTTTAACTTCATCTTGTTTCTGGCCTGAGTTTTTTCCTTATGGCATTTAATGCAGCTACTTCTATAGTAAATGTGTTATGTTTTCCTTTAATGTAGGGACACAACAGATTTAATTGTACTAAATGGAAGCTTATTATTATTATTATTATTATTAGTGATGTGCTGTTCTTAACTATATAAAATGTATAGGCAGAAAGACGCCCTTCGTAAGCGTCCACCTTGGAATGGAATGCAGAAAACCTCAGAGACTGTTGGGATGCCAAATCTTTATATTAACAAGTTTGTAGGACCTGAGATTTGATATTTGCCTGGTGAAAGTTTTCCTTGAGAATGCAAGAGGTAGAGATGGTCAACTTCACTAATGCTTTTGCATTCTTTAATCTTTTTATTTTAGAAAAAAGAGAATGCAAAAGTATTAGTGAGTTAACCATCCCTACCAAAACCTTTTGGAATGGTACTGAAGCTGATGATGTAAAGAAGTTTAAGATTGTTGAGAAGTTATTGGCATTTCCAAGAGCATCTGTACTGCTTATTTTCAATGAAAGAATAAGTACTTATAATTTCTACTGCCTATTTTTGACACTATCAAGGGTTCCCATGCTTGTACTTGAATTTCTTATGTTCCTATTTAGGTTAAGAGATGCCCTTGCCATTCGTTATTTGGTCTAGAGGTGGCTGGGTTAAATTCTTTTCTTGTCGAAGTATACAATTTTTTTGTTTCTATAAAGTGTCCTGCTTATCATTGGGAATGATCATCCTGAAATTTAGGAGTATAAGTAGTGAAATATTTACTCATGCTTTTGTAGGCAACATTAATTAATTCTTGCCTCAACAAGTTTAAATATATGTACAGTCATTAAATTACAGAATCATACAAAAGTTAACTAAAAATAAGCAGTATCTACATAGTTTCAAGAAATACATCCAGGAGATTAAAGTCCCAAGTACCAAAATATGTTGAATGTTTTCTTATGCTTGTAAGTTCCAGAACTTTAAATTTTACACATGTTTGAATTATACCTAGCTGCCATTTTGTTTGTGGGCCACTATGCTAGTGACAAAATATATTTGCAAGCTGATTTCTTAAGATTGTATAAAAATAACCTAGAACAATTTTGGAAATATTAGGATCCTTAATTTTAAGAAATATTCTTTTTGTAAAAGTGTTTGTTGTACAGGAAAACAAGCTTGGTGTAACACCCAACATTCCATTTTTTTTTTTTTTTATTAATTATTATTATTATTTTTATATAAATATAATTATTATTTATATAATTTTAATTTAATTTAATAATAATAATAATAATAATAAAGATAAAAATTGGTTAGTGATTTAATTGAAAATAATATTAGGAAAAAGAGGTGAAATTTTGAGTTCTTGGTGTATTTTTAAAAGAAAAATCAGAAATTGGGGGTTAAAACGCAATTTAGAAAAGTTACGCCACGTCAGCTGTTAGGTCAGCAGCCCCGACCAACTAGGACGCGCCAGGTGGCAGAGACGCTGACGCGGGAGGCCACGTGGGCGATCTGCGTGCGCGCGATCAAACGACTGAGATCTGTTCCCGCTCGCACGGACGACCCAGATTAAAAATGTGCACGGACGGAATAGATTGCATCCCGCACGGACAGTTCAGATTGAATCGCGCACGGACAGCCTAGCCGCCGGAAAGCCGACCGCCGCCACCCGCTGCCGTATCAGAGCAATTTTCGACCACCAATCGAGGTAAAAATTTTCTCTCTTGCACGAAATTCAATTTTAAACCCACTCATAGCCAAATCGGAGTAGAAGAACCAGCCGATTGGCCGGAAAACACCGCCGAAGCTCGGCGGTGCCGCCGCATAGTGTTTCAAAAAATGCCTCCAATTAGGTCCTTCCCGATTCCCGTTCGATGTGATTTTTTCACCGTTGTGACCACCGTTTCCTTCTCTACAAGTTGACCGAAGCAAAACACCCAACCACAACGTGAGCCGGAGGAGCCGTCGCACCGGAGAGCCCCACCGCCGATGACATTTTTTGCATTTTTTCGGCTCACCGAGGGCCCTAAATGTGTTTTTTCGCAGGAAACGATGTAAGTTCAGCCGAAAACGGTCGAAAACAGCCAACCTGAGGCGGATCATCGCCGCCCATCGCCGGAGCACGGCAGAGCCGCTGTGCCGGAATTTTGAAATTGGCCGAGTATACCCTGGATCTGATTTTTTAGTTTATTTGGGACACTTGTAGGTACCATAAGCGCATTTCAGTTTCCGAAGGAAAATTTAAGGAACCCAATGACCGCCCGTAGGTGCAGTAACCATCTAGTTTTCGGCATCGAATCAAGTAAGGACCATTCACCCTATTTTCTATCATAGAATTGTAAGTTTGAATAAATGATAATACTGTATTTTGTACAAATTAAATAGATATGCATAATTAATTACGATTGCTAATGGAGCCCGAACCGAACATTATTCTCTGTTGATTCCTGTTTGATTTATTTTATACTTTAGATACATTATGGTATCTGGTTTATATATTCTACAGTTTTAAACGTATGTATTATTGCTTACTTCACTACCGTTTGATTTTAGGAATCTAAAATATGATTCAATTGTTGGATGCACGTTACTTGTTTATGTATTTATGTTTAATTGGTGACGGAGACTAATGACAAATAGGAATGGGATGTGATCTGATAAATTGATAAAATGACAGCATCACTAGATATCTTGAGAGATTGTGGACAGATCGGGTTCATAAAGAACCCTACCGTGAACATTGTCTCATACTGGATGCGGTATGGAGCCTTGGTCATTTGGCGCTCATACCAGACGGGATATGGGGACGGCCTGCTTCACCCTCATACCGGACGAGTTATTGAGGTTTAATATCTTAGCGCTCATACCGGACGGGGTATGGGGACGGCCCTAGAATTAAGATTGTTAATTGAAAGGGTTCACATGTAGCGGGGACACCCCTATGGATACCCATGGATACTAGTAGGCTGGTGAAATGAGAAACGGTGATGATTAGTTATTGTTAATAAATATAAATTTATGATATATTCTATGTTACTGATTGTGTATGAAGTTATGATCTGTATGATGTTATATTTTTATAGGTTGTTTTCGCAGGTTCTCCAAGGGTAAGAAAAAGAAAAAATTGTTTTAATTTTAATGAATGTAGTGGTTTAAAATTTGTACTACATTGGTTATTTTTTATTTTCTATTAACATTTACTTCTGTGACGGCGATATATTGTGATGTCCTTACTGAGCTATTATAGCTCACCCCTTATTTAACCATTTCATATCAGGAGGACTCGGTTCCTGAGCCCGATCCGCAAGAAGGCTACGAGTAGATGCTAGATACTTTATAGTTTCCTTTATTTTTTTCTATTTTTCATATTTTTTTAGAGAATTTGTTCCGTGATATTTGTTAGTACTTTTGAGTTATCGTGTAAGGGATGTTAACCTTAACCTTTATTTCACTTCCGCACTCAAATCATTTTATGCATTTCTTTTTAAATTTTCAGGGTCGTTACACTTGGTCTGGTAAACTTTTTAAAGGTTGCTTGATGTTGAGATTTCAGTAAAATTTTTAAAATTTTTTTTTGTATTAATTGCTAAGGTGGATGATGAATTTACTAGAATACATGAGTTTACTATAAAGTAAAAATTATATTTTAATGTGTTTCTCAAACTTGAACTGATATTTTTAATAATATCTTTTAAATCATACACATTTTAATTACTTGAATGTAAATCTGTCATTAAACTTGATATGTATGTGTAATTCACCTGTAAATACTCCAGAGGGATATAGAAATTGTGAAATAAGTGTCAATGACAAAAGCAAACTCTTTGTTTCATTAGTTTCTTCTCTCATCCACAATTGGCACACTCTATCTTTTCTCTCAAATCATACCTTCAATATTGCTTCAGAAAATTATGTCTTCACTGCACTCTCTTAACATATATTAACATCGTACAAAATATTTTTAATTATTTTCTTTGTTACAGGTTAAATAAAAGAGGTAGGTATTAAGATAAATAGCAAACGTCTAGCAAATAAAATTTTCTTTGTGCAACTTAAAATATTTTTAATCATCTTCTTTAAAGACTGATAATATATTTATTTAAAAAAAATTATAATATATAAAGTGAATTATTCATGAATTTACAATGAGTATCGATATTATTGTTAAAGGATTTGAATCAAATATCTCTTCTTAAAAAAAATGTAGGACTAATTAGAGTAATTTGCTAACTTAGAGATTTGGAAATAAAAATAAAGACCATACACCTAAGGTTTCTTAAATATTATAATTAATAAATTTTAAACATTACATTTAAGAGTTTGATTGTATTACTTTTTTCTTTATTATAAAAGGGTTTGATTGCATTATAAAATTAGAAAATTGAGAAACTCCATAAGTATTTTGTTGAATAATTGAATTCTTCTCTATGAAGTGAAATTTCAAAGGCATATATAATGTTCTCTAAGTAACTTTTATCAAATAGGATAAGTTCAAAAATATTAAAACTACTAAGATTCGATATACTACTTCTAATAAGATAGAAAACTAATATTAATAAAAATAGAATTTTAAAATTACTAACATTATAATAAACTTATAAATACTAAAAGTAGTTTACATTAAATATAATTATAATCTGTAATCTATTTAGGCAATTTAGAGCAATAAGGGTTATACCATAAATGCCTAAGCAAACAAGATGTAATGACTGAAAATACTTTTCAAGAAAATCCAAAATCCCATTTTCCTTATCAGTGAGTTTTTATATTGGGTCACTAGCAGCTTTTTAAAGTTTTTCAAATAGTCACACGTAACAACAGTTGTTCCTTTTTCTTTGCAACAGTAAAGGAATTTCCTCTGTGTTCTTAACTTGATCACGAGGAAATGGTAGAAAAAGGTCTAGTTTCTTATTCTTGGAAAGATCTAGTCTCTGTTGAACAAAATAAGACATTGCTTCTGGACTTGCCAATTCAAATAGTGAGGATTTCTTTTTCGTAGGATATAAATGTTGTTTTGCTTTAATTTCTTTCTCTTCTTATGATCATTTTCATTTCCTGTTAGATTTTATATCATTCCTCCTTGTTTCCAGTTAAGGGCGTGAGGATTATGGATTGTTGTAATCAATTGGCTTCTCCCCCTCCCCCCTCTCTTGCGAGATCTCTTAGCGAGATCTTATCTATTATTCTTGCTACTATTATGATCATCATTGTATAACCTTTTTTGTATTTTATTCTGGTAGAATTTTGCATTGTTGCTACCTAGTGGACTTTATAAATCACAATGTGACAATTAAATTTTTTATATTTGGCCTTGTGAATTGTTTTCCTTTGATACTCTTATAAAATGTTTTAGACGCCCTCCCTTCCCTTGCCTAATTAATGATGAGGATTATACAAGTAAAAAGTTCTCTTAGTGTTTATCTGGCATTTAATTTCATGGTTTTTGATGCTGAATTACTTTAGTGGTTCATCTATACAAGGCTTGTTTGAGAAAATTACTTTTCTCATTAATGGCTTGCAATCTAAAGTATTGTTTCTTCTTAGTAGCTTCATTGAAAAATAATTAAGATCCTTTTCATTGTGAGACATGATATTAAATTTTTTCAAGCTTTATCGCATTGGCAGTCACTGTTACATTTTTGTCACATTGAGAGTAATTTCAAGGGCTATGTTTAGAAGAAAAGAGCTTCATTTTTGGAATTCATCTTGAAATTCCCACTTTGTTTCATTAAGAGAATCA